TTCCTTCTTTCTTTTTTTAATCCTTTCACCCTGTGGTTTGCTAGTTAGGATGGTCATAGCTCCTGGGATTTAAGCAGCCCAGAAAGAGTGGTTTCATAGCAACCTAATTTTTTAAATAAGTACCATAGTGTTGAAATTAACAGTCCAGAAAGATGCAACAATTGTTTGATTGATTGATTCATGGTCCAGTCCAGTAAAACACAAAACAACATTTAAGATTAAGTCCTGGGAATTTTCAAGCAAAAAGAATTAAGCTTCAGGGCACACCATAACAAAGAGGCATAGATACCATCGTCTTGGGTGCCATCTTGGTTTTGTTGTTTTTTGTTTTTTGGACCATTGTATCAGCACACTTGTGGAAGCCAAACTTTCACCAATTAGTAATACAAAAAAGGCACCGATGAATTTCCACCATTTGTAGCTCCTGCTAAGAACTTCCACAGTGGTGTAATTGCTGGATGGTTACAGATACTTCATCTCACCTCACAGCAGGCCCTTTGCCTTGGCCTCCACGAGTGGACTATCCAGGATGAGTGTGCAAAGCCCTCAGATGATCATTACCTTTGGCTGTGTATTCAGACCCAGAAGTTGCGTCGGCAGTTCACACATTAATGTCACTCAGGGTTCCTGCCATTTCTGACTCGGATCTTCCAAAATCTTGGTTGCTTTTCTGACCAAGAGACTACAGACTTTCTCCCACACTACGAAAAATAGGCTACTGCTAAAACAAATTGTCAAAGCTCCTAAAGATGCAAATAGTGATTTCATACTCTGTCGGTTCAGAAAGAGTTTAGAGTTATTTGAGGATCAGAAAGATTTAACATTTCACCAGTTTTTATTTTGTGTCCTCTTCCCTTTTATATTTTCCCCCCTTTTCTGACCTGCCCCCCCTTCTTTCTGTCCTGCACTAAGAGGAGTTCCCCCTCTCCTCATGGCATTTGAGAATGTTTAGGTTCACTTTCTGAGCTCCGTTTATTCTCATTTGACTTCTTATTTTTTTTTAGTTCCGTGCCGTTTTCTTGCAAGCTTTCTGTCAAATTTAATTGAGGTAGTCCTTTCTGTTCAGCTGCCCTGAAGGCCTCTTTCTAAAGAAGGAGGGGCCTCTTTCAGCCAAGAGGGGGGTGTTCAGTGTGTAAGTGTGTTTGCAAGGTATCATTCAGGTATGCATTGGTGAAAGGACA